GACGGGGGCCCGCTGCTCAGCGGGCCTTGCCCCTCTCGGCTTCACTTGCGTGGGGTGGATCTTTGTGCTTTGAGGCTGCTTCGACTGGTTTCGCAACTGGTGGTGCCTCAAGCCCGGGACCTGGAGAGGTTTGGCCTGGTGAATGTCTGCTCGCTGAGGAACAAAACCTTTATTTTAAGAGACTTTTTTTTAACTCTATGGATTTGGATCTTCTTTTTCTCACAGAGACTTGGGTGGATGCCAGGGATTTTAGTGCTTTTACGGACCTCTTGCCGGCAGGTTGTTCTTTTTTTAGCTTGCCACACTTGTCTGGCCGTGGTGGAGGGACAGCATGTGTTTTTAAAGCAACCATTTTTTTTGTTTTTTACTATACCCCTGCCTACGTTTTCTAGTTTTGAAATGACTTTACTTGAGGTGGGTCGTTCGGATCCTGTACTGTGTGCTGTCATTTTTGATAAACAACTGGTGAGAGAGTTTTTAACTATTATTGATGCATTTGAACTGGCGCAGTGTGTCTCTGGTCCTACACATGAGCGGGGACACACGCTAGACCTTGTTCTTTCATATGGTGTGCCTGTAACTAATTTAAATATTTGTACGAATGTTTTTTCTGACCACTTGTCCATTGTTTTTGAGGCGAAACTGTTTTGTGCAGCTGGTGCCCTGCGGGCGCCTGCCCGGCGCTGTCGGGCACTGAACCCTTCCACTGCCGGTCTGTTTAACACGGCGGTTGAACCGGCAACCACCGTGTTCCCCATGTTAATCCCATTTGAAATGGGCTATAGAGTAGAACTTATTTACAAGGGTACGATGGAAGACCTGGTGATGTGTCCTCTGCCAGGATTCAGTTCAGCATTTAACTTCATGTACATTTGTACCATATGTTGGGCCAACACCAGGAGGAGCTAAACAGATGGTTACTCACAATGACACAGTACTCCTTGTCAGCCTCCAGGCTTACAGTGATGACGTCATGGATGTCAGCGCTGCCCAGAGAACGGAAGAAGCTTGTCTGACAGTCCTGATGGCAAGTTAGCAGCTTCTTGTCTGTCACAACCAGGCAACATGGGATACATGGGGTGGGGGCTACACCCTGAGGGATAACCTGGGAAATAAAAGTGATAGTTAATTATAGTTTATACGTAAATGGGACTTAAATCAAGCCATACTGACATTATGCACAAATAACGTATACAGGCAAAAACGGTTCCACCTGTATACATCAGCAGCGGTTGTAACAAAGTCTTACCGAGTCTGTACATCCAGTAAAGTGCAAGCCTACAAGGATTATCTGTCATGTATACGTTTATTCTTGTTGAAAGTTGGAAAGACAGCCAATTAAACTTGTGTTTGAAGAGCATCTCCCTCTTTACTTAAACCTAATGTGTCAGACATTGCAATGCATGCTTTGAGTGTTACTGTCTTCAAGAAAAAACATTCTTGAATTATTTTAGTTTGAGGTATATATGCCTCAGCTTCACAACTGTCTAATTCTGATTATGGCTGATGATTGTGGCGTTTTTAATTGTTGGTGTATCAAGGACTGAGTCTCTGCTGGTGTATGATCGCCGGTTCCTTTTGGACCTTCACTTTAAGGGCGGGGAACTATGTGTGCTTGGACGTGATGGACGAGGAACTGTTCCCCCGGTTTTATCGGGGATCCCGGCTTATTTGCTCCGGGCCTCGGCCTTGTTCCCCTGGCGGAAACGTTTCTGTTGGCGGGGCCGGCATAGTGGGCGGTGTTAGGGTGATTTTCATTTTTAGATAGAAATAAATATAATTAGTTAGGGTTTTTATTATATAGCATACATAAGTTTATATATTTTAATCTCACAGTTGTGTTCATGTTTATTTAGTTACATATCTATATATCACCCTATGTGTTCACTGAACCACGAAGAGGGAGCGGCAAATCCAAAAGCCTGTTTCCCTTTTTCGGTCCGAACTCTCGGCACCATGAGCTGATACTTAGTAGTTTATCTTCTGGTGTTGTGCCTGGTTATTTTAAGCATGCAGTTTTGCAACCTCTACTCAAAAAGCCACATCTGGATCAATCCATGTTGAGTAATTTTAGGCCTATTTCTAAGTTACCTTTTATTTCGAAAATCTTGGAAAAAGTGGTCTATGCGCAGGTGAAATCCTTTTTAGATAAAAATAACTTATTGGAGGTTTTTCAATCTGGTTTTAAACTCATGCATAGTACAGAGTCAGACTTACTGAAGGTTGTTAATGATATTTATTTGGCCACTGATGCAGGTGAATATGTGATTCTTGTCCTGCTGGACTTGACTGCCGCCTTTGACATGGTGGACCATGACATTTTGATATCTCGCCTTCGCGACTTAGTGGGCACCCGTGGTGTTGCCCTAGCATGGTTTAAGTCATATTTATCGGGTAGATCGGTGTATGTCAGGTTGGCAGATGTGGAATCTGTCACAACCCCTTTGTTATCTGGGGTCCCACAGGGCTCCATTTTGGGGCCTTTGCTTTTTTCATTGTATTTACTTCCTCTTAGATCTATTTTTAGAAAACATGGGGTCTCTTTTCACTGCTATGCTGACGATGTCCAGATTATTATGCCACTGAGTAAGAAGGACACCTACTCGATCCAACCGCTTTTAGCATGTCTTGCCGATATTAAGGGCTGGATGTCGTTAAACTGTTTAAAGTTAAATGATTCTAAAACTGAGGTTATAGTGTTTGGCCAGAATACGTCTGTCGACCCTCTTCCTGTAGACTTAGGCTTCTTGGGGCAGTATGTGCAACCGGTGGTCACTGATTTGTGATTTGGGTGTTAAAATAGACTCAGATTTGAAAATGGAGAGCCAGATAAATGCGGTTGTAAAATCTGGATTTTTCTATTTAAGGCAGTTAGTGAAACTAAAACCCTTTTTGTCGTGGCAGCATTTGGAGACAGTGATCCATGCGTTTGTTACATCACGTATGGATTACTGTAATGCACTGTACGCTGGAGTTAGTCAATCGGGTCTTGCCCGCCTCCAGAGGGTCCAGAATGCTGCCGCTCGGTTACTGGTTGGGGGGTGTAAGAGAGACCATATAACGCCAGTACTGGCATCTCTCCATTGGCTTCCGGGGCGTTTTTGGGGTCATTTTGCACCATCTTATCTTGCGGAACTTTTGTGTCCCTATAATCCGTCGCGGTGCCTCAGATATTAGCAATAACACCGCCCTCCAAAGAGCACACACAGGCGGTGTGAGTTCAGCTGCGCTGTGGTGGGTCCAAACCTGTGGAATGCTTTGCCTCTTTATATTAGGCAGGCCCCCTCGTTGTCTATTTTTAAGTCTTATTTGAAGACCTACTTGTATTCATTGGCGTTTGGCCAGGAATGAGACTCTGTCTGTAGTGTTAGTGTTTATTTTATTGTTTATAGTTTTTTTATGTGTTGATTTTAGATTTGTATGATATGTTAAGCGCTTTGGTCAGCTGTGCTGTGGTAAAGCGCTATATAAATAAAGTTTAGTTGAGTTGAGTTGAGTACTTCAGCGTAATGGTCATGGGTATTTAGCCTTACAGCATGCACATTCAAAGTTAAATAGTTTTGGTTTGAGGAAGTTTTTAATGCACCGTGTAAACCCTGAACACGGTGTGCGCACTAGGGAAATCTCCCTCCTTACCCCTTTGGAGACAGACTGACAGAGTAGCTGCATCCAGTCAGCCATGTCCTGCTCATTATTGGCACTGAGCTCCAGTGGGTGGCGCTCCGACAGGATGACTTGGAAGGCATGGGGGCGCTCTGTGCTGTTTGAGCGACGGCAGCCCCCACAGTGCTCTCCTCTGTTGAGAAATGAGGGGTCACAAAGAGCGTGAAAACAGCAGTGAAGATCAGTATTGTTCATAGCTTTTGAATAGTAAAGGCCTCCATAGATTAATCATCTCCAGTCTAATAGGCCTTTTTCACAGAAGACATCTTGACATCTCACAGTAGGAAAAGTAATGATGGCTGAATTTCCTTTAGTTACTTCAGTTTCAGGGTCCTGGCACATGCTGCCGACTGTCAACAGAGTTATGACTCACTTGTATACTTAAATAAAACAAGGGCATTGTTTATTTTATTGACACCAGTCATTTTCATGACAAGTCAAAAATATCTGGTGTGAAAAAGCCAGCTTACCCCATAGTGACTGACAGCACAGGAGTCATATCTGTTCTGTCTGCATACAAATACAGAATCCCATTGCTACAAGAAAGGAAGACAACAATTTCTAGTCATCCAATCAGAAGTTCAACATTATATAAAAACTTTAATGTATTATATCATATACAGTACAAGCTTGACAGAATGCATTGCTCTCTAGTGATGTCAATTTCCCAGTTGTCTCAAATAATTTTGGTCTGTGCTTTTAATTTTGAAATCTAAAAATTACTGTAATAGGTACGTAACACAGCCAATGTATACCGAAAGGAACATTTTAATACCAGCAGAAAGGGGGACTGATGTTTATGACCTGCCCGTACCTGAGGATGAGGTAGCAGCTTTTCCATAGTTCTTTTCCCAGGTAGGTGGTTCCAGCCCGGTACTGCAGAGTCCCTTCCTTGGTGCTGGAAGGTAATCCAGAGCTTGGAAGGTTACCCTGGGGTGACAGAGCCATGTCCATAGGATCCTCCCAGTGGACCAGTGAATAGAGTTGGAGAGACACTTCAGACACCTGGAAAAACAAGCAAGCAACAGTTGATCACTGCTTAGAAAGTCAGCCAAAGCATAGCAAAATGGTAAAGCAGGGACTACCAAACATTTACAGAATTACAGAAACACTAAACTCTTATGGTTAGGGCTGTCCCAAAAGTCGACCAGCAGAATTATCAAATTCATCAGTTCACCAAGATTCTTCAAGTTGAACCCTTTTTTTTTTTTTTACGCCAGCGTGCATTACAATACTAATTATCCCTGGCCCCCTTATGTATTTTGTCATTTTCTTCTCATTCTGGTGCACCAAATACAATCAAAAGTAATTTGTCTTGGGTTTTTTTTTTTTTTTACTGGCCTACAAAATATAACAATGAGCAACTGTTTTTGACACACCTGAAGAAAAAAGTCTTGTGTAATTTTTTTTTAAGGATTTTTAGTACAATGGGTTATAAAATAGTCTGCTCAGATAAAACAAATATTGTATACATGTTGGTTTTCTCTCTGTAAAGAATTGACCAGTGAAAGTTATTATATGTCCAAGTTCAACATTTATTTACCTCACAATGAGCCTCCTGGGAGACAAACTTAGTGAGAGCCAGTTTTTCCATGGTAGCGTCAGTCAGAACAGAGGGGTAAGGAGGCTCACGACAGCCTTTCACCATGGCTGACTTCAGAACAGACAGGAACCAGCTGTATTTAAGAAGAAGGGTGGATGAGATCAGAGAATGCAACAAGGGTACAATTTGTGATGTGTCCTGTACTGCTCTATGAATGTAAAGAAATACCAATTTAACATAATAGACTAAATTTACAGGCGATTCTACATATCCCTCATTCCAATGTAGGTCATTGGATTCCTGAAACAGATGCACAGGAGTAGCTGGGAGTTGGTGGGCATGCTGTCTCTTTGCACAGGGACTCAAAGACAGTTGTGAAATATTTGCAGGGGCATTATAAATACAGATGTAAACGAATCACAGGTGCTTGGAATAGCACAATCTTTATGTGCCAGGTCCATAATGGAGCCAGTATTAAGAAACCTGAGATAAAAGGTATAAGGGTATACTCACACAGTCAGTGAGGCATCAGCTGTGTCCAACAAAAATTTTCTTCGTCTGTTGGTGCAAACCAGCGTCACTGTCTGTTGGTCAAGGCCGACCTAAATGAAAATATTACAGCTAATTTATTAGACACAAAGATAAACACTGCACTACACCACCTCTGCTATTATAGCATGTCGTGTAATTAGCTCTATATGGATCACAGTGAGGACCAGCAGCCCAAGACATAGACAAATGAGAAACAATGACAGACCCTTGTTGTGCAGGACACTTACTGAAAGATAGTCCAGCTCATTATAGGAAACAGCATGTTCTACTGTGTAGGGCTTCTCTGCTGCACCTGTGGAGAGAAAAAATGTCATTTATTTTCTGCCTACAGAATAACCTCATCTAGATTTGTTCCCATGTAACACTGTGTAGCTCTTACTGAACCAATGCAGCACAGAGCTAAGAGCAGAAACTGACTTGGCTTAGTGGTCAAACATCAACAACAACTTCAACAAGCTTCACTCACAGATCTGCTTCAAAAACAGGGTTCCTAGTACACGTGGATAAAATATGAAAACCATTTGCTAGTTTATCCACCGAGTTCAAGAAAACTGAGAACAAGACTGGTTTTCCCTGTGTAAAAAAAGTACCATGACTCCCGTTTCCAGTACGTCCCAACAGTGTCCCCAGTATTAGTATGCCCCAAATTATAGTACAATTTCACCCCTCATCACCAGACAAAGCCAGTGCATGCTGGGTTTTAAGCCACTGACCCTTCCTTAGTAGATAGATGTAACAGTCAGTGAGCAGCAGGTAAAGAGGCTGCAGGTCCCCCTCCATGTGGCCCGTACTCATCCTCAACATCTGAAAACACAAAGGCAAGGGTCAAGTGTTGGACTCCTCCATATTCATCGATCTCAAACTGTTCTGTTCATGAACGATGAGTTCTGGCAACTGGATAGGTGATTGTAAAATAATGTGCTGAGGAAAAACAGAAGACAGTTTATATAGCCTTAGTTTGTAGATAAACATTACAGTCCATCAGCAGTTGTAGGTTTTCATCACTGGTCAAAATGTGCTTGTTTTTGTTTTTAGTCCAGTGGTGGGTGAAAAAGTGGGAGTGAAAGAAATTTATACAAAGACAGTTAAAACACTACAGCCTGAGTAAGAACAATTAGAAGGCATTGACAAACTGAGCCTTGCAAAACTTCCACTAAGCAATGGTTTCCAAACCACTTCTTCAGTGTCAAAAGAGGTACAAGTCAAACAGTGAAGTGACAATAATTATTACTATTCAAGTAAACACCTTTTTACAAAACAAACCTGAAAAACACCCATGTGATACCACTGGTCTGCCTTTCTTCTCTGCATTAAAAGAAACACCTTAGCACATATTCACATTTTTTCCAAAAACAGTAAATACTTCAAGAATGAATAAGGACTTTGTCTGTCTTCACCTTAAAGAGCTGCTCTTCATTCTCTCTGAATACATGGATCATGAGAAGAAGCAAGTGATTGTTGTCAACCCTGAAATAAACAAAAAATGAAGAAAATTTGATTCACATTATACAACACTTCATTAGCAAACACATTTTCTAGAAGCTTCATACTTAAACTCTGCAGGGTGAGAACTTTCTGAGGGGCTAAGCTTCTCCTCTTGTAGCTGTTGTTCTGCTTCTTCAGTAAATGTGTTCTTGTCCTTGTCTTCTCTTTCCAAGTCTTCTTTCACTTTCTTCACCTCAGGCTCCTGTCCTGCTGGCGCTTTTGCTTCTCCTTCATTTTCATGACCACCTGAAAGAGTCTGCAACTGGCGATGCTCTGTAGAGTCATAGTGGCCACCACCTGTGGGAGCAGAATCTGGACTGTTGGAGGTAAAGCAGCATAAGTCTGTCGGCGCAGGAGAGGCCTGCAGGACGATGGGGCCACTGGCCAGAAGGGCACCAGACGTCTCTCCTGGGGCTGGGTCAGGGGGTTCACCTGCTGACTCCTCTCGAAAGGGCAGCTGTGCAGGAGGCGTGGGACCCTGGTTACAGCCTTCATTATCTTTCTCCTCCCCCGGGTGCTTCCAGGTCTCCCCTTTATCCAGAGCCCCATTGAGCCGGTCCATGACATCACGTAGGGGTTGGCCCACACTGTCCATGGAAGTGTCTGTCATCTCTGGGAGCCGTAGGCCTTCTACCATGTCCTCATCTCCTTCCTCCATAACTTCTGATCCAACTCTGCTTCTCCTCAACTCTTCCTCACCATTCAGCTGAATTACAGTGCAGTCTAATGAATCCACATCCTCCGAGGCCAGGGGGCTGTTGTCTAGTTCCATGTGTTCAGAGACAGAGTTATGGATGGTGCTGCTGGAATCTGTGGAGCCCTTCCCACGTCGCTTCTTGGCTGGTCTCTTTCTTCTGGCCACCCTGGAAGAACACAATGGTTAGTTATACTCCCTCTGTTCCAAATACAATTTGCTTAACTGTGCTGATACAACGTGAGCCTAATACGGACAGTGTATCTACTGTACCTGATGACCTCCAGCTCATTGCTGGTGTTCTCCGTGTCATCACCAGTGGTGGTGGTGTTTTGGCAGCTGGCCACATGAACTGGCGTGACATCAGCTGAGGTGTTGGTGTCAGAGTCCTCATTGAAGGGGTTGTGTCGGGATGTGGGACTATGTGGTGAAAGATGAGCTGCAACCTTCATCTTGACAGTTCCAGCAGAAAGGACCACCATGTCATTGATGACCGTTTGGGGATCTGAGCCACTTGATCGCAGGCAGCTGGCTTGGTCAGTCAGGTCACCCTCTACCATGAAAAGCCAAAGACACTAAATTAATGCAGCAGTTTCCCACATTCTCTGTACTTCTATATAGTCAAAGGAATACACTAATTTTTGGCATTGTCTCAGTGGTAAGGTGAGTGACAAATGTAGACATCAGAAAGCTTTGTTTTAAGTAGCAATTTAGAGGAGAGCTGTTTCTAGTCAAACATGTTCTGGAGGTGTTTTTGCCTATATTCATCTGCATTAAAAAAAATTAACCTAAGAGACAATTTCACAAAAACTGTGTATTCCTTCATTGGCATCATACAGAAACAAATGTTAGTTGTTTTGCAGGGACAGAGAGGCACAAAACACTATGTGGGAAACATCAAGTCGGTACAAAGGCAGCAGCTTTCGCTGCAGTGGCACAGGTCTAGGTCAAACATTACTACTGTAGCTTCCAGAGATCTCATACAAAACACACATTAGAAAAATCTAATTTTCAGAAATCCGATTCATTGTGAGTAGATTGACCAAGTGATTTGTGACCTTCTAATATCCTTTAAAACCACATCCCAATTTCCCTCACGGTGCTTCTTCTAACAACTTTTATCAACAGTTATGCCTTCATGCAAATTCAAATTTAGACCATGAAACTGAAGGTTAGCTATAAGACAGCAAGTTGATCTCGATTGATACCTCAGCACCACAGTTGAGCTAAACCTAGACCAGTGCCACATATCACACAGGAAGAGAGGACATTACAAGAAAACAAACAAACAAAAAAAGAATTAACACCAGACAAATAGATACACAATATACTGGAGACAGACTGGACAAGGTGAGTACAAGTTACATCAGGCATTTATATGTTGCTGCAGATAAGGCAGAGTGAACATTAGGATCATTTGCCAGATGAGTAACACATGCAGGAACATGACAGATACCAGTTCCGTGTACCCACCCAACCCAGGAGAAACTAACTATACACAGTAAGTTGACTAGTAAATGACTCATTGTATTTTTGTTTAATCCCCATTTACTAACTCGTATCATGATCATGTCATCAAGCTTTACAAAAAATGTGTGTGGCTGTCACATTTTACTGCAGCTACTAATGTGTGACAAAAGAAATGTTTCAGTTCCATCTTCATGTTTCATGAGTAAGTTTAAGAGCATGTAAAAAATGCCTTCTCCAATAATAGGCAACACAGGTGTTTGTTAGTACAATAACCTACTAGCTACCTAATCTATGTTCATAAAGTTCAGTTATGCAGTAATCACTGTCATATGCCACATAACTGGCCCAATAATAATCTGTCATGTGCCACACAACTTAAGGTCCAGGAAAAAATAAAAGAAAACATGTCCCACAACTAAATCCTTTCCCAAAAACTGAGCCACCGTGTACATTTGACCATGCTTGTTTTCATGTCCAGCAGCATTTTGAACCACCTGGCTATATTTGACATAGTAACATGTCTGATGACTGACTATTCAGCATGCATTAAGCACAAACTGTGGGATGGCCATGCCAGACTGGAGAGAGAAAAGGATGGAGGAGCAGGAAAGGAAGGGGTTGACCAATGTCCCACCTCCCCAGTCTGCACTTGGCAATGACTGCAACACAGGGAAGATGTCACCGAAATCATAATCTAAAAAAAGGAGGGATAACATTCAACATTAGAAAAATGGAACTATAGTAGAGAGCAGACTGATATAAAGGAACAGAAACAACAAAAAAAAATTACAATGATACATGGTATACAAAATAACCGAATCAATGGGGGGAAAAATAGACACAGGGGAAGTAAAACTGGGGAACTGACTTTGTGAAGAGTGATGGGGAAAGCATTTGCTGAACGCTGCAATCATCGCAATGAGAATTCTGCAACCGTCCGCCACTGCACGTCAAGGGATCCATTTGATAAAATGCCCTTTGTTTTCTGTGAGTCACAAGAGTCGCGAGGATGAATCCAAGTTCTGCTTCAACATGCCATTATCTTGACTTTACTGTATGAATTTGTGCCAAAGCATGAGGGTGCACTTGCACTCTAAAAGGAATAGATAGCATCACAAACCCCAAAATACAGTAGATGCTATTCCCTACATAGGCATTCACCAGGAAAGTAAAATCAACAATGTGTCCAGATTAGAGCTATTTCACACTGCAACAGCACCGAAAATTGCCACTAGATATTTCTGATATTTTAAATTAAAGGAGAGAAACACTAACTGGCCAGTCCATAACATGAGACACGTCACCAGTCCACATTGCATTCCACATCTTACCATAAACCTGTGGCAACCTCAGTCTGTAACCCAGTGAGCAAATAGCATTAGCTGTCGGTTTTTCTAAAATGTCATTTATTTGGAGATGTTCTAGTCTGGAAATGCCGAAAAGCAAGACAGCTACTTGTGATGTGCATAAAGCCAGCATGCCGAGGGGTGGCAGTACGGTTGCGTCTTACAGTACAACCAATTTAATCAACACCCGCAAACACAAACTTCCAGCAGACAACCTAAAGGCTAAAGGGATTACAGAGAAGTTCAACTTCATTATAATAAAACGGTTCAACTGAGAGCACTCCTCAAAAACATTCTGTGGTTTATGTAAGATGGCATAATATGCAATCGAATTTAATGTTATTCACTCTTTAACACCACTTGGTAACATCAACTTTTTTACAAACTGTTTGTTGGTAAACTTCTATGCCTTACATTCGCTACATCTATGTGCTAATTTTAGCTCAGAGTGAGCATCAGCCAAGCTAGCGGTGCTACAATAAGGCTTCCTTTAGTTCCACTGGATAAACAGATCGAAGAATCTAATATTTGGCTCTGTCTACAAGCTGTAAGAAAACTCAGAGGCTGTGAAACATTACATTACATGGTATTGAAATGCACCATGTTTTCTCTGATATTTGAAGTATTGCAATATTAAATAATCACTAATATTGTCAATATTGACAACCAAGTGAAAACCTTAATAGGCAGCCTTTAGGGGCTTATTTATAGTTTTGACAGCGTTAGAAGTGATGCAGGTCATTCTGTCATCCCGATGCCAGGAGAATATAATTATTGCACCAGTTAAAGTAATTAAGAGAAATTAGATGTCATTTTGTCAATACATCTATGATTGTTCTGACCCTCAATCTTAGGCAACATCAGCAGAGAGCAACAAGAGCTTAGTCTGACTTTGAATCTAAATGTGCACAGATAACACCATGTACTATCCAAATTATAATAAAAGGTGCACAGTTACTATACTGTCTGCATATTTCCCTTTGACTATTCTACAAGCATCTGCAATTTAATGTATGCTATGAACACCAAACTCTAGTTTGTAACTTTACTGCTCAGGCTGTATACACAAGCTACGTTCACATACATATCATGCCATTTGTCTCAGTCTTGGCGCCTAGTGGCTTTTGTGCCCTCCAATAATCAAAGCCCAAATAACTTTGCTCTTCACATTATGAATTTTATGGCTTGCCTCTGACTATATAGTGATTGCACTTTTCCATCATTAATCATATTTAATATTTTGTTTATTAGTGTTGATTGTTTTATTGCAATGAAAGAGCTCTTGGATCGGAATCGGCAGTTGTGTATCGGAATCGAATCAGAACTGAAAAAATGTGGATCGGCCCATCACTAGCTGTGTTTCGCTTCCTAAACTGGATGATGAGTAAAGCAGGGCAGCAAATAGGGAGTAAATTGTAAATATAGAGTAAGAGAACAACAGTGTACCATACCTTCACTGGAGGGGGCTATGGCACTGTCATCCCACTCGAGGTTGGTGGAGGTGAGGGAGGTGAAGGAGTGCAGGGATAAGCTGTCTGAACTGGGTAGCCTTTCCTCAAAGTCCAGCAGGTTCTGAGGTTTGTAGTATTCTGGCATGTAGGGGGCCACATCCAGATAGGGCACATCCTGAACAGGCAGGATGGAAAAGAAAAGTCACAGACATGCTAGTACAGGGAAGAGCTAGATTTCTCTTGACACTGAAAGGAAATATTTGCCTACCAGCTCCAGATCAAAGCGAATAAACTCCAAGCCAGACACCAGCGTAAGGAAGAGTGTGAGGTGGTCATGGCTGCAGACTAGTGCATTCCTAACAGAGAGAGAATTTAGGTCACTTCATTGGAGTGACATTTACTTAACACAAAAATATGCGGTGTATAAAAATGCTGATTTAAAATGTGACGCCCTATCAATGTTCTCCAACATAATAAGTAAACTCTCACTTGTCAGATCCTTCCTATGCATCAAATAATCAAGATCAGGATAACTGGTTAACTTACTTGAAATAATACTTCTGCAGTAATCCTTGGTTCTCCTGGAAGAGGCGCAGGTAGCTCTCTAAAGAGCTCTCACTCAATGCCAGGTATAACCATGCACGGCCTACAAAGAACAGAGCAGAGTTCTGTTCTGTGCATATAACCCATTGAAAGATGGCTAACGTTTAGTATTTTAAGTGCAAGTGTGTTTGACTGTGTGGGTAAGATGCCTCACTTCGACCAAGGTTGGTTGCTATATGCTGAAGTTCATCTATCTGACGGACAGCCTCTCTCCTGGTGAAGTGAAGGACAAGGACCCAATAGCCTGAGGAGATGTCCTGTAGCCTGCAAAGTAGAAAACAGTCAACAGAATGAAATGCCAAAAAAGGTGAGGTGAATAAAGTGATGGCACTAGAACTAGATTTACAGCACTACTGAAGGAAGAATACACAGTCAAAATAGCTCAAAAAGCGTGCATCATGACAGATAACATAAAGAAGCACGAGGCTTGTACATACTCCAAAAAATAAAAGAATAGGATTTATAAAAGGAATTCTTGTATGACAAATCAAATCACTATTTGTACTATGCAGCTCTCCACTTTCCATTCTACGATTTACTTTCCCAGTAAGCCTCTTACCCATAGAGTAGAGCGTGGTCAAGGTGTTCACAGAGGCGCTGCAGAACTCGGTCATGATTCCGGATAGCTGGAGTCTCATCTTCACAGGCTGCAAAGTAACTCTGCAACTGCAGACAGATGCAATTTCTCTCTTTCAGACTACAAATCCAGTTACAAAGTTGCTACTAATTCTCTTTTAAGGGTGCGTAATGGTGTTCAGCATTAAATAACAGCTGTCTGACATCAGACCAGAAAACCTTTTAAAAGTCTGCAGTAAGCCCATCACACCCAGGAACTTTACCTAGTGCCATTTTATGCATACAGTAACCCTAAAAGAAACCTTTGGCCATGATCAGCCAAGTGTAGGTTGGAGTAGATTTCCATCATCTCCACATGACCAAGCAAGGTTTGCCTGAGGTAAACAGACAAATCTCATGTACATTTTCTTGGAAGCTTGAGGCATACAATACAAGTGCTTTCACAGTCTTTATGTTGTCATGAGATAAACAGGGTAATTGGTCTAAATACTGATTGGAACAGAGTAAAGCAATTGTGGTGTAAATGCATTAAACACACTAATGTAATCATCTGACAGTGAGACTGGTGGAGTCCTAATGGAAAATATCTGAAAAAAAGAAAAAAGTCAATGCACCATAAAAATCCAAATGCAGAAATTTAGAAAGTCAATATACAAACACGCAGGGAAAGAAGCAAGATGCAATGCTGTCTGTCAGTTCATAAGAAAGGTATTTTCATAAACAGTATTTCACAACGAGAAACGAGAAGCAAAGACCGACTGTGCTGGCTAAACCTTTGTGCCAGTGGGATGGTTGGAGGTGTGCTTACAACACATGCCGCAGTAAGCAAACACGGGGGCTTGGTGCCACTATTGTTCGCCATTATTAACGAGAAACTAGAACATGACAGCAGAGTGCTGGAGCTGTAAAGCATTAGGTGAACTGGAAAATTATAGGGAATTATTAGTACGTTATTTGACGGTATCAATAAGGGCAAGGCCCTATGACAGTGAACTGGTAATTACCCCCGACTTAATGACCTAAGATCAGCTACAATAATACAAGCATGTGAAAATACTTAAATTCTGGTAACTATAATATTTAACTTAAGTGTACTAACCATTCGGGCAGCACTTACCTTCTTGACAGACAAGGAGATGTTTTCCAATATGCGATCCTTTACTTTCAGCTGATCCATCGCTGGTCTGTTGGGCTGTCAGCTGATTCTTCTGGCAGAGCTCTTGTTTTGCTAATGCTAACTCCTCCAGCCTTAGCTAGCTAACATAATCTCGCTCTCCAATGACTTTTATCCAAAATTAACCAGCTAACGATATGGCTGTCAGTTATAACTTCCACGGAGTCTGGAAGCGGCACTAATGTTAGTTCACAACCATCAGGTTAGTGCCTAGCAAGCACGTGACATGCCAGGCTCCGTCAACAGATCCGGTTAGCCAAGTTCGCTTAGCCTTAGCTGTAGCCACTGGAATTATTTTTAACGCTACTCAGCAGGGGGTGGCTAGTGAGTTGTAGAGGCCAGTCATAGATAATTTTTAGAAGCACTATCATACTCTCCGTTTCACCACTCTTGTTATCTGTTGTTAAAAAAACTAAATGACCTTTTCATAGATTTGCCTGTATAAATAATTACATTAAAATAACGGGTTATAGGGTCAACAAATGACTTTTTGTACTGCTAACCTAATTACCCAATTGCTCTGCCGCTGCGCGTGAGACCTGGCTGCAGACAAGATGGCGCATTGCCGGACATCATGACAGCATTTTCCGGAAGTAGGGTGACGACCACCTTCATTACATTTCAGAGGCAAATATTGTACTTTTTTACTGCACCACTTGCATTTGATAACTTTTACTTTTCAGAATCAGATGAGTAAAACAAATAGATCATAACAACGAGACTTTATTGATCTCCAGTATTCACAAGCTACCCAACAGTATGTAAAGTAGGCCTCAGGGTACTTAACATTAGCTCCACCTTTACCAGCTGCAACTTTAAAGTGATGATGAAAATATACATTCATAATAAGCCAATTATATAATATGCATTAATGTGAAATGGGCCGTTCTATAAAGTAATGACTACTCTTACTTTTTGGTACTTGTATATTTGGATGCTGTTGTACTTTTACCTAAGTAACATTTGAATGCAGGACCTTAAGGACTACGAGGACTGAATGGGGTTTAAACGTTTTGACAAAAACTTTTTAAATAGACGTATAATCCAAAGACACAACACATAAGATATGAGTTGATTTTGAATCACCAGAGCCAACTCCTGAATTTGGTGCACATACAGTATCAGCCTCTATGTTCAACCTTGTTTTTGAAATGGTTCATACAGTTCTCTCATTCAACTTAATTTGTTAAAGATCTAAATGCATGTTTTTCTAATGCAGACTTAAATACCATATTTTTAAACTGAGTTGGGCCTAAGTCCTCTTCATGCCATCAACAGTTTCCATGACAGTATGTGACAGCACTGAGTAAAACTGTATTTTAGGTCAAGGAGACAGATTTCAATGAATTTTGGAAGTCATGCAGCACATGTCACATAAAAGCCAAGGATTTCTACTGAGTGGAATGTCAGTATTTTATTGTTAAGATGACTTCAACTCTTTCAGAAACACATTAAAGGTCTTATCAAAAACAAATAAACAGTTGGTATATTCAGTGCATGTAGTTACCACTAACATTTCCTGATGGAGAAAATTTGGGTCAAATTTTATTATTGATTTCCTTTATGTCCCAAAGCAAGTGCTCTACTAAGGACATCATTTCATCAATTGTAAAGCAACTTTAAACACTGACTTTCTAACATATACAGGCCTTTGAGTGATTTTCCAAATAGAAAAAAAAAAGACCCCAACCACTGCATTACATTATAGTCACCACCCCTTGTGGTCACCAAACCTCAATTAGCTGAGTGCTCCAATAACCAAACAAACTGTATTTTTACAAAGAACTGCAGTCAAAATCCTTGCATGAAGATTTGCACCATTGACACATTCAAATTTCAACTCTTCACACTACAAGTTCACTTGTATAATCTCATTTTCCCTTCCCTGTTGTTTCTCTGCATTAGTCTGACTTCTCCTTTTCTTTCATGTGCAAGAAAACTATGCTGAAGACAAAGAGTCCTCCCATCATTGAGAAGACACTAGCATAGTATGGGTAGGCTGAGGGGATGAAGCGCTCATACTGAGTGTGCTGCAGGGGACGCACTGATACCTGTGGTAAAGAGAGACAATTGAAGAAGTTAGCTCATGATATATTTAAGCATAGTTGCTGCATGCATTGTTGTAAAGAGCACCCTTTTAAAATAATACACCAAGGTTTGATCAATTTAAATGCAAGTGGTGAGGATACATCACTGGTGAATATGTTAAGTCGTAGGCAACTAGGATATCAAGTATGGTAAACAAGAGAACTTCTGCTGGCTCCCAGCAAAAGGTACAATACCTAACCAGATGATGGCATCAATATTTTTTACAACTACCAATTAACTGAAAAGTGTAAATAACCTCTAAATTGTTCCATTTCTATAAGATGTGTTCTTTCATTTGTCACTTTACATGCATGGGGACTTCCCAACTGTAACCATGCTGTGGATTTGGGTATGCTCAGGTGAAATGAACCTGATTAACTTGCCTGAGTGGAGGAGTAGAGATGTGTGTATCCCAGTCGGTTATAGTCCACCTTGAACTGGAAGACTCCATACACATCAGGCAGCTTGAACTGGACGCTGTATTTACCTCCTAGCACAGATAAAACAGCATTTAAAGGTGTGTTCAACTCAAATTCTCCATAATCATAAGAAACCCATATATTTAGGTTGTTTATTTAAATGAGATAATATATGCTTTATAAGCACAGCAATGTACCATTTTTCTTGAGATAAGTCCTGACGAAGGGATCGATCCTCACAAACTCCAGCTGAATATCATCTCCATCAAAGGGAACCCAGCGGCCCTCAGACAACATCTCAATGACAATGCTGTACTCCTGCATAGAAAGGTTTTACACTGAAAGAGCTTTACAAGTTCAAATGCACAGCTCCACATTCAGGGTGATGATTGTTCATATAACTCACTGAAATTTTCAACTCACCACAAGGTCAGTGATGGTGTATGCCGCAGGAGGAGTGGTCTCTCCCACAGGATGATGGGTAACTGCTCCCACCCTGAGGACTCCAGCCTCCTTGAACACCCAGCGAGACAGAGCCTCAGCCAGCTCTATGTTCCCTGTCTGCTCATGCCTACCCAGGACCACAACAAGAAGAGGGGTTGAACCAGTAGACTGATAACTGGACAATACAGATTTTTTTATGAAATTGTAATTTAGTCTAGTGGAAGTCATCAACCTGGGATGGGATGCAATTTGTCTGACAGAATTTACAGTAGAAATGTTCAAAGTTTTACTGTTTGTCAGTAGGAGGAT